CTGTTCTCTTTTGAGGCGCCTCAAAAGTAGACGATCTGTTCTCTTTTGAGGCGCCTCAAAAGTAGACGATCTGTTCTCTTTTGAGGCGCCTCAAAAGTAGACGATCTGTTCTCTTTTGAGGCGCCTCAAAAGTAGACGATCTGTTCTCTTTTGAGGCGCCTCAAAAGTAGACGATCTGTTCTCTTTTGAGGCGCCTCAAAAGTAGACGATCTGTTCTCTTTTGAGGCGCCTCAAAAGTAGACGATCTGTTCTCTTTTGAGGCGCCTCAAAAGTAGACGATCTGTTCTCTTTTGAGGCGCCTCAAAAGTAGACGATCTGTTCTCTTTTGAGGCGCCTCAAAAGTAGACGATCTGTTCTCTTTTGAGGCGCCTCAAAAGTAGATGATCTGTTCTCTTTTGAGGCGCCTCAAAAGTAGACGATCTGTTCTCTTTTGAGGCGCCTCAAAAGTAGACGATCTGTTCTCTTTTGAGGCGCCTCAAAAGTAGATGATCTGTTCTCTTTTGAGGCGCCTCAAAAGTAGACGATCTGTTCTCTTTTGAGGCGCCTCAAAAGTAGATGATCTGTTCTCTTTTGAGGCGCCTCAAAAGTAGATGATCTGTTCTCTTTTGAGGCGCCTCAAAAGTAGATGATCTGTTCTCTTTTGAGGCGCCTCAAAAGTAGATGATCTGTTCTCTTTTGAGGCGCCTCAAAAGTAGATGATCTGTTCTCTTTTGAGGCGCCTCAAAAGTAGATGATCTGTTCTCTTTTGAGGCGCCTCAAAAGTAGATGATCTGTTCTCTTTTGAGGCGCCTCAAAAGTAGATGATCTGTTCTCTTTTGAGGCGCCTCAAAAGTAGATGATCTGTTCTCTTTTGAGGCGCCTCAAAAGTAGATGATCTGTTCTCTTTTGAGGCGCCTCAAAAGTAGATGATCTGTTCTCTTTTGAGGCGCCTCAAAAGTAGATGATCTGTTCTCTTTTGAGGCGCCTCAAAAGTAGATGATCTGTTCTCTTTTGAGGCGCCTCAAAAGTAGATGATCTGTTCTCTTTTGAGGCGCCTCAAAAGTAGATGATCTGTTCTCTTTTGAGGCGCCTCAAAAGTAGACGATCTGTTCTCTTTTGAGGCGCCTCAAAAGTAGATGATCTGTTCTCTTTTGAGGCGCCTCAAAAGTAGATGATCTGTTCTCTTTTGAGGCGCCTCAAAAGTAGATGATCTGTTCTCTTTTGAGGCGCCTCAAAAGTAGATGATCTGTTCTCTTTTGAGGCGCCTCAAAAGTAGATGATCTGTTCTCTTTTGAGGCGCCTCAAAAGTAGATGATCTGTTCTCTTTTGAGGCGCCTCAAAAGTAGATGATCTGTTCTCTTTTGAGGCGCCTCAAAAGTAGATGATCTGTTCTCTTTTGAGGCGCCTCAAAAGTAGATGATCTGTTCTCTTTTGAGGCGCCTCAAAAGTAGATGATCTGTTCTCTTTTGAGGCGCCTCAAAAGTAGATGATCTGTTCTCTTTTGAGGCGCCTCAAAAGTAGATGATCTGTTCTCTTTTGAGGCGCCTCAAAAGTAGATGATCTGTTCTCTTTTGAGGCGCCTCAAAAGTAGATGATCTGTTCTCTTTTGAGGCGCCTCAAAAGTAGATGATCTGTTCTCTTTTGAGGCGCCTCAAAAGTAGATGATCTGTTCTCTTTTGAGGCGCCTCAAAAGTAGATGATCTGTTCTCTTTTGAGGCGCCTCAAAAGTAGATGATCTGTTCTCTTTTGAGGCGCCTCAAAAGTAGATGATCTGTTCTCTTTTGAGGCGCCTCAAAAGTAGATGATCTGTTCTCTTTTGAGGCGCCTCAAAAGTAGATGATCTGTTCTCTTTTGAGGCGCCTCAAAAGTAGATGATCTGTTCTCTTTTGAGGCGCCTCAAAAGTAGATGATCTGTTCTCTTTTGAGGCGCCTCAAAAGTAGATGATCTGTTCTCTTTTGAGGCGCCTCAAAAGTAGATGATCTGTTCTCTTTTGAGGCGCCTCAAAAGTAGATGATCTGTTCTCTTTTGAGGCGCCTCAAAAGTAGATGATCTGTTCTCTTTTGAGGCGCCTCAAAAGTAGATGATCTGTTCTCTTTTGAGGCGCCTCAAAAGTAGATGATCTGTTCTCTTTTGAGGCGCCTCAAAAGTAGATGATCTGTTCTCTTTTGAGGCGCCTCAAAAGTAGATGATCTGTTCTCTTTTGAGGCGCCTCAAAAGTAGATGATCTGTTCTCTTTTGAGGCGCCTCAAAAGTAGACGATCTGTTCTCTTTTGAGGCGCCTCAAAAGTAGACGATCTGTTCTCTTTTGAGGCGCCTCAAAAGTAGATGATCTGTTCTCTTTTGAGGCGCCTCAAAAGTAGATGATCTGTTCTCTTTTGAGGCGCCTCAAAAGTAGATGATCTGTTCTCTTTTGAGGCGCCTCAAAAGTAGATGATCTGTTCTCTTTTGAGGCGCCTCAAAAGTAGATGATCTGTTCTCTTTTGAGGCGCCTCAAAAGTAGATGATCTGTTCTCTTTTGAGGCGCCTCAAAAGTAGATGATCTGTTCTCTTTTGAGGCGCCTCAAAAGTAGATGATCTGTTCTCTTTTGAGGCGCCTCAAAAGTAGATGATCTGTTCTCTTTTGAGGCGCCTCAAAAGTAGATGATCTGTTCTCTTTTGAGGCGCCTCAAAAGTAGATGATCTGTTCTCTTTTGAGGCGCCTCAAAAGTAGATGATCTGTTCTCTTTTGAGGCGCCTCAAAAGTAGATGATCTGTTCTCTTTTGAGGCGCCTCAAAAGTAGATGATCTGTTCTCTTTTGAGGCGCCTCAAAAGTAGACGATCTGTTCTCTTTTGAGGCGCCTCAAAAGTAGATGATCTGTTCTCTTTTGAGGCGCCTCAAAAGTAGATGATCTGTTCTCTTTTGAGGCGCCTCAAAAGTAGATGATCTGTTCTCTTTTGAGGCGCCTCAAAAGTAGATGATCTGTTCTCTTTTGAGGCGCCTCAAAAGTAGATGATCTGTTCTCTTTTGAGGCGCCTCAAAAGTAGATGATCTGTTCTCTTTTGAGGCGCCTCAAAAGTAGATGATCTGTTCTCTTTTGAGGCGCCTCAAAAGTAGATGATCTGTTCTCTTTTGAGGCGCCTCAAAAGTAGATGATCTGTTCTCTTTTGAGGCGCCTCAAAAGTAGATGATCTGTTCTCTTTTGAGGCGCCTCAAAAGTAGATGATCTGTTCTCTTTTGAGGCGCCTCAAAAGTAGATGATCTGTTCTCTTTTGAGGCGCCTCAAAAGTAGATGATCTGTTCTCTTTTGAGGCGCCTCAAAAGTAGATGATCTGTTCTCTTTTGAGGCGCCTCAAAAGTAGATGATCTGTTCTCTTTTGAGGCGCCTCAAAAGTAGATGATCTGTTCTCTTTTGAGGCGCCTCAAAAGTAGATGATCTGTTCTCTTTTGAGGCGCCTCAAAAGTAGATGATCTGTTCTCTTTTGAGGCGCCTCAAAAGTAGATGATCTGTTCTCTTTTGAGGCGCCTCAAAAGTAGATGATCTGTTCTCTTTTGAGGCGCCTCAAAAGTAGATGATCTGTTCTCTTTTGAGGCGCCTCAAAAGTAGATGATCTGTTCTCTTTTGAGGCGCCTCAAAAGTAGATGATCTGTTCTCTTTTGAGGCGCCTCAAAAGTAGATGATCTGTTCTCTTTTGAGGCGCCTCAAAAGTAGATGATCTGTTCTCTTTTGAGGCGCCTCAAAAGTAGATGATCTGTTCTCTTTTGAGGCGCCTCAAAAGTAGATGATCTGTTCTCTTTTGAGGCGCCTCAAAAGTAGATGATCTGTTCTCTTTTGAGGCGCCTCAAAAGTAGATGATCTGTTCTCTTTTGAGGCGCCTCAAAAGTAGATGATCTGTTCTCTTTTGAGGCGCCTCAAAAGTAGATGATCTGTTCTCTTTTGAGGCGCCTCAAAAGTAGATGATCTGTTCTCTTTTGAGGCGCCTCAAAAGTAGATGATCTGTTCTCTTTTGAGGCGCCTCAAAAGTAGATGATCTGTTCTCTTTTGAGGCGCCTCAAAAGTAGATGATCTGTTCTCTTTTGAGGCGCCTCAAAAGTAGATGATCTGTTCTCTTTTGAGGCGCCTCAAAAGTAGACGATCTGTTCTCTTTTGAGGCGCCTCAAAAGTAGATGATCTGTTCTCTTTTGAGGCGCCTCAAAAGTAGACGATCTGTTCTCTTTTGAGGCGCCTCAAAAGTAGACGATCTGTTCTCTTTTGAGGCGCCTCAAAAGTAGACGATCTGTTCTCTTTTGAGGCGCCTCAAAAGTAGATGATCTGTTCTCTTTTGAGGCGCCTCAAAAGTAGATGATCTGTTCTCTTTTGAGGCGCCTCAAAAGTAGATGATCTGTTCTCTTTTGAGGCGCCTCAAAAGTAGATGATCTGTTCTCTTTTGAGGCGCCTCAAAAGTAGATGATCTGTTCTCTTTTGAGGCGCCTCAAAAGTAGATGATCTGTTCTCTTTTGAGGCGCCTCAAAAGTAGATGATCTGTTCTCTTTTGAGGCGCCTCAAAAGTAGATGATCTGTTCTCTTTTGAGGCGCCTCAAAAGTAGATGATCTGTTCTCTTTTGAGGCGCCTCAAAAGTAGATGATCTGTTCTCTTTTGAGGCGCCTCAAAAGTAGATGATCTGTTCTCTTTTGAGGCGCCTCAAAAGTAGATGATCTGTTCTCTTTTGAGGCGCCTCAAAAGTAGATGATCTGTTCTCTTTTGAGGCGCCTCAAAAGTAGATGATCTGTTCTCTTTTGAGGCGCCTCAAAAGTAGATGATCTGTTCTCTTTTGAGGCGCCTCAAAAGTAGATGATCTGTTCTCTTTTGAGGCGCCTCAAAAGTAGATGATCTGTTCTCTTTTGAGGCGCCTCAAAAGTAGATGATCTGTTCTCTTTTGAGGCGCCTCAAAAGTAGATGATCTGTTCTCTTTTGAGGCGCCTCAAAAGTAGATGATCTGTTCTCTTTTGAGGCGCCTCAAAAGTAGATGATCTGTTCTCTTTTGAGGCGCCTCAAAAGTAGATGATCTGTTCTCTCCTTCCCATCTCCCCCCATTCTGTCTTTCCCCAACGCACACACTTCAGTGTACCACACTTCCTCAAGCTTCTGAAGGATGCGGGTCTAGGGTCCCTGCCTGGAACAGCTGCTGAGGTGAGAAGCAAACTTGGTTCATATCTCAGTGCACCGCACTGTGCCGCAGTGTTTCCCACTTTCTCCATCCCTTGAAGGATGCAGGTCTAGGGTCCCTGCCTGGTACGGCTGCAGTGGTGAGAAGCATACTTGGTTCGTGCCTCAGTGCACCACAATGCACCGCACTCTCTCTCTGAGAATGCAGGTCTAGGGACTCTGCCTGCCACAGCTGCTGAAGTGAGAAAAGTACTTGTGAGGATTCTCAAAACTGATTTCCATGTTGCTGAAGTGAGAAAAGTACTTGTGAGGATTCTCAAAACTGATTTCCATGTTGCTGAAGTGAGAACAGTACTTGTGAGGATTCTCAAAACTGATTTCCATGTTGCTGAAGTGAGAAAAGTTCTTGGCATGACAGAGTGTCTTGTGTATCTTGAGGCGCCTCAAAAGGCCAAGCATATGAGAGGCTTGGCACAGACATATTTTCTGACGCTTACCACTGCTCCACTCACCACCTCCAACTCCTCTCCACCCTTTTGAATTGAACTCACCCCTCTCCACCGTTGTAGGTCTTGGACGACTCGGTGCGAGCCGTGCTGTGCCCAGATAAGATCTCAACCGTCCAATGGAGGGAGGTGATTGAGGCCGCTCATGCTGCCGGCCTCCCCACCACCTCCACCATCATGTTCGGCCACGTGGACCATCCCATCCACTGGTAACTACCTCCTGGTAACCACCTCCTGGTAACCACCTCTCGATTGGTAACTGTACGACTCGGGTTCAGGGTTGTTCATGCTGCCGACCTCCACCATCATGTTCGGCCACGTGGACCATCCCATTCACTGGTAAAAAACCGGTAACCACCTGGTTGGTGGATGCAACCTGGCCTCACTTATTAAACCTGCTTAGGCTCTGTGTGCTGCTTCTGATGCTGCTGGCCTCCCCACCACTTCCACCATCATGTTCGGCCACGTGGACCATCCCACTCACTGGTAACCACGTGTTACCTAGTAACCACCACCTGGTACCTGGTAACAACCTGCTAGGCACAACCTGGTCTCACTTGGTATCACTCTGAGTGTGCTCATGCTGCCAGCCTCCCCACCACCTCCACCCTTAATGTTCGGCCCCATGACCCATCCCATTCATTGGAAACCACCTGGTAACCACCTGGTAACTACCTGTGAAGCTCTTGAATGATATCCCACAACTTCCCCTCTGTGCTCACGACCTAAGGCCTATTCTGAGACGTCTCAAAACTGAACAAAGCCTGTTACCCTTTCTCCTCTCCCTCCAGCCTTCGCCCCTTTTCCTCCCTTTCTTACTCCCACCTACTCAGCCGCCCAAACTCAATGTGTCCACCACTTCAACCACCCTCCCCTCCCCCCAACCCCCCCCCACAGTTTCCGTATCGCCCAGGGCACGGCACCTGCTGCTGCTGCGGTCCATTCAGGAGCGGACAGGTGGCATCACCGAATTCGTCCCCCTACCATTCGTGCACATGCAGGTAGGCAAGTGCGTACATGCATCTAGTTGCCATCTGGCATGTGCATGCATGCACGCATTCGGCCTGTGCATCTCAAGGGCAGGAGCAGGGTTTTCAGGGTCAATTGATAAGCCGTTACCCCCCCACCCCCTTCCCCTTTGTCCTGCTCAACTCAGGCGCCTGTGTATCTCAAGGGCAGGAGCAGGCGAGGCCCCACCTTCAGAGAGTGTGTGCTGATGCATGCTGTGGGGCGGCTGGTGCTGCATCCACTCATCACCAACATCCAGGTGAAGGATATGTGTGAACTGCACATGCATGCGCACACATACACATGCACATGCACATGCACATGCCCAGCATATGCACGTGAAGACATGCATATGCACATGCAGACATGCACGCGCACACATTCACATGCAGATGTACTATTCCAGGCACATGGATTCAAATTACAGATGGATAATTGTGGTGTGCATGTGCCTCCGTTGCATCCTTTTCCTGCACCCAACAGGCCTCATGGGTGAAGATGGGATTGGAGGGCGTTTCTTGTCTGCTAGCGGCTGGGTGCAATGACGTGGGCGGCACACTGATGAATGAGAGCATCACACGGGCGGCTGGAGCAGTACATGGTGCGTGAAGCTGTGGTTTGTTGCAGCGTGTAATCATTTCCCTCTTGCACTCCCTATCTGTCGCTTATCCCCGCCCTCCTCCCCTCTCCGCCACCACCCTGCTCTTTTGTTGCCCAGCCTGTCGTCCGCACCATATACCAACCTACAAGCACTCCATTTATTTCCGTATATATTATTGCAATATGCAGGTCAAGAAGTTACAGCCCAGCGCATGGAAGCAGTCATATATGCAGCTGGTCGTCAACCCCGCCAGCGAACCACATTATATGAGTCTCTAGGTTATTGAATACGGTGTCTGATATTACTGTGTTATTTCTGTACATATGATATCCCGTCTTCTATCTTTCCTGAATGCACACGGTGTCAATATAAGCTCGCAACAGTATGAAAATGACATGTAAACTTGTCAATATACATTATTATGCTTCTCGATATATACAGCACAAGGGGACCAGGATTTACATAGTCTCAGGTGCTTGTATCAGATTACCTAATGCTTCTGCCGGGTATGCCCTGAAGAGTTGCTCCCGAAGTCCCGGCTCTGCGAGGCTTTCCCCGTTATAAGTCCCTCCGACTTCCCCGTAATCTGCATTTTCAAGAATATCTGTTGATCCTTCTTGCGCCAGTAGATTAACTACATAGTCGTCATGAAAGCGCCGGTCACGATGCGGGCGCGAAGAGACACCTGGCGCTTTGGTCCGCACGTCGCCGACGTGTTGAAATAGCGACGGCACGTGCACATATCCCGTCCGGTTGGCGCTAGTTAGGTATTTGTTTAGGAGCCAATCCATAGGAGCCTCGGTGAAATGTTCCTCCACAAACCCTAGCAGGTCTTCAAGCGCCGATACGTTGAAAAGCAGAGCTTGAGCGCAGCAGGGAATTAGATACTCCCCGCCATGATCATATGGCCAGAGGTACGATTCGGGATAGTAAAGCGATAGGACCGTCCACTCCTTGTCCTTGATTTCCTCGGTAATGAATTTCTCGATTCCGATATCGTAGAGCCGGGCTGGCCTCGTGTCGTCTTGCAGCAGTAGGATGTATTTCGGTTTCGTCGCCATGCACTGCCGCATCACGTAGACGAAATCCATTACCAGCTTCGTTCGCCACCGCCAGGATTTCCAGCCGTCGCTGGCCATCTCGGTTGTCACGCCCAACTTTCGCAACTCCTCCTCGTCTTCCTGAACGAAGTCGCACGCATCTTGGCGAGATGGTAACACCGTTACATTCAGCGACGACTCATTTCCAGCCATTCTGAGAGCTTTCTCGTGCAGAACTCCCGCCATCGTCTCCTTTCGTTCTTCCAAGTCTCCCTGAGGAGTTGGCACCGGCTCCTCAGGTGATTCCACGTCACGCCGCGTCGCGCCGTCGGGAAGGCTTCTTGTCGTCGTAGTAGGCCTCAGGTCCTCCTCCGAAGCGCTGGCGTCTGACGCTGTGCGTGCTGCGGCTTGTTCCTTGAGGCGCTGTAAAAATTCCTGTTTTTCGTCGCAGCCTGAGCTGTAGACCACGACGTTCATGTCTTTAAAGCCGCCAGACATGTTAGACGGAGACCGTCGCCGTTCCAGCAACTCAAGAAGAGACTCTGGGAAGTGCCACGGTGGCAGCTTGCGTTTTTCGGGAAAGACACGTGGCATCGAAGCTATTGCCACGCAGACTTCAAGTTGATTGTTAGTGCTCTTGCTGCTACTCCCGTCGCTGTCGGCGGGGAGCCCGTTTCCATCGCTCTTTAGATGATCCCCTGCCGTTTGCCCTCGCTTTCCGTCGCTGACACGTGTCTCCTCCTTGAGTGCGACATTTGGCTCGAAGTAGTCTCGTCCGACGTGGCGACGCATATGCAGAGGACTCAAATCCGTGTCCGCCGTTGAAGACGATGCGTTAGTAGCTCCAGAGGCGTCGTCGGCGTTCCCTGCCGTTGAATCAGTCGATTGATGAGGCTGTGCTGAATTAAGGAACGTCCTGAAAACGGATCTGGCGAAAGTGGACGGTAACCAGGTTACAGATTCTGACGCTGACTGTGACAAGGTCAACGGCGACTGTGGCGAGAGCAGCTGTCTCCTGTGAAACTCAAACACCTTACCAGGGCGAGGCAAGCCCAGGCGAACATGGCGATTCAGCCTGGTACTAGCCCAAGGCGCGGAGATTAAAACGATGCCACAAACGAGAAGCAGGGCAGCGAGGCGGTAAGGTCTGGAGAGCCTCGTGCGTGGTGAAGTGGCAGTGTGCCTGTTAAAGCAGAACTTGCTGACGAACTTGCTGTTCGTAGTAATAGGTTGGATCATGGTGCCTAAACGTGGTCACTGGAGATTCTGCTAGAGCCTCTAATACGAAATCAAATGATAAGCGGTAAGGGCACATATTTGATAACCGCGAAGATTTTCGAGGATAAGTAATAGGCTGTGTGATAGCCTGTTGGTGACTCCCTGTGATGATCTGTCGGCGCGATATGGTCAGCTGATGCAACGGTTTATCACTGTCCGCAATAGCCTATCGAAGAATTGGCTCTGTTCTGCAGCCCTGCTCTTCCCTTGCCGAGACGCGAACACTTGCAGCAGTTGTCGTCGGCAGTTTCTGCCGACGGCCCACTTGCAGCAACCTGACCTCCGTCTGAAAATTTGGATCCTAGAGTGATGCGCGCGAGATGCGGGGAAGGAGACGCGGCATTGCTGCAACATGGGATTTGTTGCTGCTGTTTGTCCCCGAGCCGACATCTCCAGGCGGCGGGAAGGCTTTTCTGAAAGGCGGAGGGAGGGAGGGAGGAAGCAAGCAATTTTCGGTTGCGCCTCGGCCTCGAGATTAGTTTGTGTGACGTGATGGGCTTGGGGTTGTTTGTCATGGCTACGGCGATGGATCTGTTTTGCTCACATGGCTCAACGGTTGGATGTGGTGGGCAATGGGGAATGAGCTGGATGGGGTGGATTGTTGTGGGCGTGCTTGTTTCGGTGTGGTGGTGCTGACTGGCTTGGGTAAGGCGAATTCTGTAACCACTCGATGGCTTGTTCCGACTTTTGCGTCTACTCATAGGTTGCCTTGTTCTTTTGACTCCACTGAAAGTCAGCTTTTGAGTCCACTCAAAAGGCACCTAGTTCCTGCAAACGCGCCACGAGAACATCAGGTTTGCGACGAGTATAAACAGAAATTCGCGAATTGGCAGCGAAAATGATGGTGGCATATCTTCTGAGGACGAAAGTACTAGCGAAGATATTGGCGAAAATGTGTCAGGGAGGCTCAAGCATTTTTTCCACAGGCAAACTTGGCTATCTGCCCATTTACCGAGCCTACCATATCTCAAGCCAAGCACCGAGACAGGGGTTGCCAGACAATTGCCCAGTGGTCAAGGCTCACGAAGCTGTCATGGCGATTGCGAATTCAAAAACTTTCGTCTCGTCATTACCCGTGTTTTGGTTGGGTTGAGTGGTGTGGTGTCTGTGTGGTCACGACGAGCCGTATGTTTTCGTCGGTGGCAGGTCTGGCGGCCCGGTTCGGGTCTAGCCAGCGGGTCTGGTGGGCGCAACAAAGTGGTGATTGCAACCTGACCACCGTCAAGATTAGCAGAAGGGGGAAAGAGAGATTCTTTGAAGGGGAGGTGGGGGGAAGGGGAAGGTGGGGGGAGATGAGGCGGAAGGGGTCTGGGGAGGGGGAAAAGGTGGAGGAAGGGCCTTGGGGAAGAGGGGGAGAGGGGTTAGGGGAAAGGGGGATCACTCGACTTGACGGGCATTTTCAAAATTCTGTAGTGCTGGGATGGTTGGCTTGGGTTGGGCTGGTTCGGGTTGGGTGACGCGTTTTTATTGTTCGGATCAGCAATTGTGGACATAAATGAATTTGGCAAGCTCTGCTGTAGTACCAGCATAGCAGTGTGCTCCCTGGTCCAGTTCGTGTTGAGTTGAGGGAATGTCTTGCCGTAGTCTTGCGTCCCCGTGGTTGGTAGGTAGTTGTTGGAGGTTGATTGCTGTCTTCAATTGCCGTATTCCAATGGCTTCTTTGAATGCCTACTTCCTACATTACCTCTACTAGCCGCAACCTGGAACAATGCCTCGTCGAACATTCGTGCTATTCTGAGCCGCGAAATCAAATTCCTTGTCGGTGCGGGTTCCGACGAGCGAGTGGAAAGCATCAGCAGCTGTAGTCTTGCGAATGTACGTACCTTCAAGACACGTCGCGCTAATTTTACTCCATCTCGTTTCCGTCTCTCTCGTCTCCGTCTGTCTTCGTCTTTCTTAAACTGTCTCCAACTGTTTCCGTCAGTCCCCGTCTGTCTCCGTCCACCTCCGACTCTGGTCCACTCTAAGAACTGTTTTGCCGGTTCCAGGTGGGATTCAGAACAGGCAGACGTGCCGATTGACGGATGTATGACTGACCGTGTCGCGCGTCCGAATTTCTTTTCAGACGTACAGCTATGGCTTGGGAATTATCCCTTCAACTCCACAGTTCCGCGATGAAGCGACGAGGACGGTCGAAATTTCGCCACCCGCCGCGACCGTTGCACAACGTACGCGTCGTCTTACTATAATCGTGGTGTTTGTCGTTCCATAATCGCGAATGCATTCTTACATGTACCTTCCGTCCGGCCTATCAGGCAGCGTCCTTTTCCAAAGAGTGTGTTATGAGGAAGTTTCCACAAGAATGCAGCCTCCCCACATATGCATCCACTTTCGCCCCCTATTTTCCCCCCGCCCCCGCCCCCTCCCCCGTCCCCCGTTTTCGTGTTTCTCCTCCTCTCCTTTGCCCTTCCCAATGATACTTCCCTCTCCCCGTGCCAGATCTTCTGTTTTTTGTCGTGTGCTGCTATCGTGGCTGCTGCTTCTAACGCGCCTTCTCTCACCGCATCGCCCTCCACGCCATCCACTTCTATCAAGTCTGCTTATAACGCAGCTGATCCTCCCAGAGATCTTCCTGTCCGCGGCATCCCACACACCAGACGTTCGTCCTTTAGATTAGACCCAACGGCTTGGCCCCGTTTGCATCTGGACCGCACCCGTTCAACGGCTTATCATCCCAGAGATCTTCCTGTCCGCGGCACCCCACACACCAGACGTTTCGCTTATGGTTTGGTTCGAACGGCTTGGCCCCGCTTGCATCTAAACCGCACTCTTAGAAGCAGCGTCAATTCAACACCCCCACCTCTTAGAAGCATCGGCGGCAGACGCATTAGAAGAAGCAACAGCAGTATCGAGCGTTCAAGAAGAGTGATGCAAGCCAGGGTTAAGCAGCTCATCACCTCCGATCCTACCGCTGTTAGACTCAGGCCCAATAACGTTGCTCCCACTGCCACTCGCTCTCCCAGGTACGCCTCACCTCACCCCGCCTTCGCTCCATTCCCCCTTTGCGCCATTCTCTCTTCGCTGCTTTCCCCCTTCGCCCCATTCCCCCTTCGCTACTCCCCCCCTACGCCCCACTCCCCTCCCCCTCCCTTCCTCCTTGGTGCCCCCCTCTCGCCCTCATTCTCCCAGGTTCTCCCCATTCGAATGCATGTAAAAAAAAAAAAAGATCAGTCGCTTTTTTCTTCCCTCCCCACTGCCCAAACGTCAGCCAATTGCCAGTCATCCCGTCAGACTTGGGCCCAGAAATAAAATCCTACTGCGGGCAGGGTGTTTGCGCGAAGAACCCCAAGTGGTGCGGGGTGATGAACAACCCTATCCGCATCTTCCTCGTGTGGTACGGAAGCTTCTCCGATGCCCAGAAGAACCTTCTCCGAACTTTCATCCACTCCTTCAGCAGCACTGAAGGCACAGGTGAGAGTTGTTCAAGGCAGCAGCAGTGCAGCACTGAAGGCACAGGTGAGAGTTGTTCAAGGCAGCAGCAGTGCAGCACTGAAGGCACAGGTGAGAGTTGTTCAAGGCAGCAGCAGTGCAGCACTGAAGGCACAGGTGAGAGTTGTTCAAGGCAGCAGCAGTGCAGCACTGAAGGCACAGGTGAGAGTTGTTCAAGGCAGCAGCAGTGCAGCACTGAAGGCACAGGTGAGAGTTGTTCAAGGCAGCAGCAGTGCAGCACTGAAGGCACAGGTGGGTGGGTCCTCTCAACTCGAAATTTGAAGGAGCCTCATACGTGCAGTTTACAGTCTTTACAGTCTTTATAGCCTTATCAACACTGAAAGCCATCACTCTTGACTCGAAGTCCCTATCTCCTCTCCCCGGCCTTTCACAACCCCCTCACCCTTTCTTTCTTCTTCTTTCTCCCTCCCATCCCGCCTGCCTGCCTGCCTGCCTGCCTGCCTGCCTGCCTGCCTACAGTCGCTGACTGGTGGCGATCCAACACCCTTGATTACGACGACTGCCATGGCCGCTTCATTTCCTCCTCTGTAAATTCTAGCAAAGGGAGCACCACGTGTCTCCCTCCCATTCCCCCTTCTTTCCCCCTCCACAAACCCCCCGAACCGTCTCTGACTGGACCAAAGCCTTAATTACGACTGCTATGGCCGCAACGTCTCCTCCTCTGTAATTTTAGCGAGGGAGCACCACGTGAGGCAACCCCTCCCATGTCTCCCTCCCTTCCCTTCCCCCACCCGGGCCCCCTCCTTCCCACACAGTCACTGACTGGTGGCGATCCAACACCCTTTATTACGACTGCTACGGCCGCCCTGTCTCCTCTTCTGTGACCCTAGCAAGGGAGCACCACGTGGGCAAAGAAGAACCACGTCTCTCCCTCCCCTTCTCCCTTCCCCTCCCCTCCTTCCCACACAGTCGCTGACTGGTGGCGAACCAACACCCTTTATTACGACTGCTCTGGCCGCCCTGTCTCCTCTTCTGTCCTCTTAGCAAGGGAGCACCACGTGAGGCAACCTCTCAGGCTGCTGTTTGGGCTCAAGTCAATAAAGCGGGTGGTAAAGAAGAGAATGAACAGCGGCGCTTTCCCCCTTGATGAGAATGGCGTTTACTTCGTGATCGGCGATGGGAGTGTTGCTCAGGTGCGTACAGGTGGGGTGCGGTAGTGGTGGGTGCTTTGGTGGTTATGATGGTTGTATTAAGGCTGCTGTTTTGGCTCAGGACGATTCGCCAGGTGATCAAGGCGAGGGTTAAGGGGGGTGCTTTCCCCCTTGATGAGGATAGAGTGTATTTTGAGAATTCTCAAAATACACGGGCGTTTTCACACCGCTGTTGTTCTTTTGCTTAAGCCTAACTACGTGACTTCTGCTCTCTCAGAACTATGACTGAACTTCGTTATTGGCGATGGGAGCGGGGCTCAGGTGTGTCTAGTGGTGGTTATTATAAGTCGTGTGATAAAGAAGAGGTTGACGGGCGGGCGGCACGTTTTCCCTTGATGAGGATGGAGTGTACTTCGTGGCGATGGGAGTGTGGTTCAGGTGCGTTTTGTGTGTGAGTGAGTGAGTAGGCGAGTGAGTGGGTGAGTTAGTAGGAGAGTGAGTGAGTAGGTGAGTGAGTGAGTGAGTGAGTGAGTATGTGAGTGTCCATAAGAATTCTAGATCCCAACTCTCCCCCCCACGCTCTCTTCCCCACTCCTACGTCTCACCTCTCTCCCTCTTGAAACAGAGGGACAATAAAGGCGCCATGTGCAGCGCCTACTGTGGCTGGCACACTCACTTCCCCACTCTCTACTCCCCCTGCTTACCCCATCATATTCGCCTCATTTTCCTTGTCCCACGCCTCACCATTGCTTCTCCCCCAACTGAGGCACAGCGAGGGCGGCATGTGCAGCGCATACTGTTGGCATGCTCACTTCCCCACACTCACCGCCCCATGCTTATCCCCTCACCTCACCTCTCGTCACCTCACCTCACCTCTCCTCACCTCACATTGCTTCTCCCCCAACAGAGGGGCAGCCAGGGCGGCATGTGCAGCACTTACTGTTGGCATGCTCACTTCCCCACACTCACCGCCCCATGCTTATCCCCTCACCTCACCTCTCGTCACCTCACATTGCTTCTCCCCTAAACAGAGGGACAACCAGGGTGGCATGTGCAGCGCTTACTGCGGGTGGCACGACTTTGTGAGGATTCGGAAGAAGCTCATCAAAGTGGCTTATGTGGGAAGCCCTGTCAAGGTGTGATGTGTGGTGAGGATGTGCTGAGAGTGGTTAGAGAGGGTTCAGACTTATAATGGAGGGAGTGGTGAGAGAGTGGGAGCCATGTGCACCGCTTACTGCGGGTGGCACGACTTTGTGAGGATTCGAAAGAAGCTTATCAAGGTGGCTTATGTGGGCAGCTCTGTCAAGGTGCGGCGGCACACTTGCCAACCTGGTTTGACTTCTCCCAACCACTTGGCAGCAACTACAGTGAAATGACAATTTCTCAACCCCCAATGGTCTATAACCCATATGGATTCACCCTACAAACTCCCACAATCGTCGCATTAAAATCATAACTTCGAACGATCACAACTTTATCGTTTCTTGCTCCGATCGCGACGATTCTTGGTTCGTCGGAAAGCTCTTGAACAGAGAAGTCACTTCATATATCTGTTCAAACAAAATAAAAGTTCACACACACTCACAAAGTCTGAAACGCACCAAACACAAAGTCTTACGTGCGCGCACACCACGCATGCAATGAATAAAGATAGGATGGGAGGTTGACATATGTGAATGCAAATGATGGCATCACACAACATGCTACTGCCAACCAACCTCCTAGCAGATCTGGGTTGAGAGTGGTTAGAGAGGGTTGAGAGTGGTGAAAAGGTTGTCAGAGAGTGCTGAGCCAAGAAGAAGCTTGTCAAGGTGGTTCATATTGGCACCCTATTTCTCTCCACTATCCCTCAATCAACCATTTCCCCATCCCTCTCCCACTCACCCAGTGCCCCCCAATCCCCCCTTCCATCCCCCCAATTCCATCCCGTCAGTGCCCCACCAGCTGTTGGATGGCTGCCTTTGCCTTCAACGACAGTCCCAACAGCGATCCATCCTTCGACTCGCTGCTCTCCACGTTTGCTCACGAGCTCGCAGAGGCGACGAGTGACCCCTACGTCACCAATTGGTATGACGCTGCTGGGCAGGAGAACGCCGACATATGCGCCTGGAAGTGAGTGATTGCGAGGGAGTGGGGTGGGAAGGTGCAGTTCGATTTGACTCGCTGCTCTCCACGTTTGCTCACGAGCTGGCAGAGGCGACGAGCGATCCCTATGTGACCAATTGGTACGACGCCTCTGGACAGGAGAACGCCGGCATATGCGCCTGGAAGTGAGTATGGGGGGGGGGAAGAAGCAGGGGGGGTGTGAAGGGAAGAGGGGGCGAAGAGGGTATTCGCTGCTCTCCACGTTTGCTCACGAGCTCGCAGAGGCGACGAGTGACCCCTATGTGACCAATTGGTACGACGCCGCTGGGCAGGAGAACGCCGACATATGCGCCTGGAAGTGAGTGACTGGGAGGAAGAGGGGGGATGGATTGCTGGGTTGATGTTGGGTGTGCAGAGGCGACGAGTGACCCCTATGTGCTGAATTGGTACGACGCTGCTGGGCAGGAGAACGCCGACCTATGTGCCTGGAAGTGAGTGACTGGTGTGTGGTGAGGGGAGGGGGGTGGGGACGGGATGGGGAAGAGGGGGTTCGAGTTGACTCGCTGCTCTCCACCTTTGCCACGAGCTAGCAGAGGCGACAAGCGATCCCCTGTGGTGAATTGATACGACCTCTCAGGGCGGGAGAACTCCGGCTTATCTGCCTGGAGGTGAGCGAGTGAGTGGATTTCTGGGGTGGATATTGGGTGTGCAGAGACGACGAGTGACCCTTATGTGCTGAATTGGTACCACCTCTCAGGGCGGGAATACTCCGACTTATGTGCCTGGAGGTGAGCAAGGGAAAGGGGAGGGAGAAGGGAAGGGTAGGGAGGTGGTTCATGAGGGGCTTTTGAGTCGACTCAAAGGGAGAAGGGAAGGGTGGGGAGGTGGTTCGTGAGAGGGATGGAGAGGGGTGGGGATGGGGAAGGAGGGAAGAGGGGTGATATGTTGTAGTGCTCACTTTTCCTCCCTTTCTTTTGTTTCACAAGTTCTAGATTGTACTTCTTGTTTGTGATTTACATTTTCCCCACAAACCTGGCTTTTGAGTCGACTCAAAAGTCTTCTTGTTTGTGATTTACATTTTCCCCACAAACCTGGCAGGGCCGGCACCCTCTTGTACACATCAGATCAGATGCTGCACCTTATAACCTCGAGGGGGGTGGAGAGTGGTGTGAAGGTTGTGACGGTGTTTAAAGCACTAGCAATATGTATCCCTCACTTTTCCTCCCTCCCACAAAACCTGGCAGGGCCGGCACCCTCTTGTACACATCAGATGCTGCACCGTATGACCGGGAAGGGGTGAAGGATGGTGTGAGGTGGTGTGGTATAACTTTTCCTCCCTTCTCCATGCGACACTTTTCCCCACAACACCCGTCAGGACCGGCACCCTTTCGTACACGTCAGATGCTGCACCGTATAACGTGGAGGGGGTCGGTGGGACCAAGTTCCTCATCCAGCAGAACTATGACCCGATTCAACGAACCTGCGTCATCGCCACTGCTGCCAGTTGACCAGGTTCATTGAACCTGGAGAGGGTGGGTGGGACCAAGTTCCTCATCCAGCAGAACTATGACCCGATTCAACGAACCTGCGTCATCGCCACAGCTGCCAGTTGACCAGGTTCATTGAACCTGAAGGGGGTGGGTGGAACCAGGTTCGTCATCTGGCAAAAGTGCGACAACGGACTGGCTTCATCGCCACAGCTGCTGGTTGACCAGGTTCGGTGTACATCAGAGGGTTGGTGGTTTCAAGCTCCTCATCCAGCAGAATTCCGACCCGATTCAACGAACCTGCGTCACCACCGCAGCTGCTGGTTGACCAGGTTCATTGAACCTGGTGAGGGTGGGTGGGACCAAGTTCCTCATCCGACAGAGCCACGACCCGATTTAATGAACCTGCATCACCGCGACTGCCCCTGCGTGACTAGGTTCATCGAACCTGGAAGCAGTGATTGGGGATGAGTTTCTCTTCCGGCAGAACTACGACCCGAGTCAACGAACCTGCGCCACCACCACTTCTCCTGCTTGACCAGGTTCATTGAACCTGAAACGGTTGAATGGTTCCAAAGTTCATCATTCACAGCTCGATTCGATGAACCTGCGCGCCACCACTGCTGCTGCTAAGGTTGCTGCTGCCACTGCTTGTCCAGGTTCTTTGAACCTGAACCTGCATCACCACCACCACTGCAGCGCGACTTGATACGTTGAATCTGGACCCGCTGTGATGACTCATGATCAGTGCTGCCTCTGCTCTCAAGGCAGAGAATTGAGGCACCCCAAACCAGGTGGGAGCGAGAGAGAGTGACAGAGGGCAAGCGTGAGGGAGCATGTGAGAGCAAGCGAGTGCAAGAGGGAGAAAGAGCGAGCGAGAGCGAGAGAGAGCATGAAGGAGCAAGCGAGAGCAGGATAGAGCGAGAGAGGAAGCAAGTGACGGCAAGGGGGAGTCAACAAAGAGACCAGGAGAGAGCAAGGGAGAGCAACAGAGGCCTAACGAGGGCACGGGAGAGAGAGCAAGAGTAGGCAGGAGAGAGCGAGAGAGGGCAGAGAGAGTGAGAGGGAGCCACGCTAACGCAGCACAGCAGCGAGAGGCTCTATGCCAAAGTGCTTGCCGCTGGGGTGAAGTGCCTTAATGGAGAAACAAGAAGAATCTGCAGCATCAGCTCTGTTGGCAGCTGAGGTAGCAGCAGCAGCAGCTGCGGTGGTGCTGGTGGCGGCGGTGGCTGTGGTAGTGGATGGCGACAAAGGTGTTATGAGGACAAATTCACGACTAGGCCTCTGTTGCAGCTTGTAATGGGCTAGGAATGATGGCATTGTTTACAATATGTATCTCTGAGTTAACTCATTTTAGAATGGAGACTAGCTTGATATGAGAAACAGATCGGTCTGGTAGCAGGCTTTGTAGCTGACGCTTGCAAGGTGCACATTTTTCATGAAGAGTAAATTCATTATTGAGAAGTACAACACAAACTGTAGTGTAGTGTAGTGCAACCAATCACTGTAAATCTACAGTTTGTGTAGTCTTCAGGAGCTCAGTGTATCCCATCCCAAGGGGTGTCTTGTAAGTATCTATCAACAAGGAAGGAACCACGGGAATGCCTGTAGGTATCTTTTCCTTATCCCAGCAGGGAGGGTCACGGAGGCGAGGGAATGTCCTGTACAGTCCTCGATGCATTGCGACTTCTCCTGGAGCGGCGAAAGATCTGATCGCGAAGAGAGATGGTGGTGGTGAAAGAGGGGGGGTGGGGGGAGAGGGGGGAGACGGGGGAGAGGGGGGGGAGAGACGGGGGAGAGGGGTTGTGGGGGGGGAGGGTGGGAGGGTAAGAGGATCATGTAACGGAGTGGATGGACAGGGAGAGTTTCATATATGAAGCAGAACGGATCATGTTTGAGATATGACACCAGGGAACTAACCTGGGCAATGGTTGTGGTGAGGGAGTGAGCGGCGATGCCCAAAGGGCCAAACATGAGCATGGAAAGGTAGGCATGGGCATAGCTAGTTCGGGATTTGGCTTGACACGTGGCTTACCTGCGCAATGGTTTTGGTGAGGGAGTGAGCGGCGATGCCCAGAGGGCCAAACATGAGGCAGAGCACGAGCGAGTGCCGCGTCTCCAGCTTCTCTTTTAAGCCGTCCAGATACACATGCCTGTAAGAGAGAAGGGGGAGGGGGGTGGGGAGGAGAGAGGGGCGAGGGCAAGGGAGGGGGGTATGAGCGGCGATGCCCAGAAGGCCAAACATGAGGCAGAGCACGAGAGAGTGCCGCGTTTCGAGCTTCTGCTTCAAGCCGTCCAGATACACATGCACGTGGGGGGGAAGTGGGGGTGGAGGAGGAGGGACGGAAAACAGTGATTACGCCATCTATATACACGCGCCGTGGGGAGAGAGAGGGGGGGGGGGGGGGGGGGCGGGGGGAAGAAAGCTGCAGTTCTTGTGTGTAGGGGTTGAAGTGCTCCCTGAATTACCTTGAATACTCTCCTGACGGATTTTTCTGAGAAATCACCTGACGGCAAAGATCAGTTGAACCTGGCAAGCTTCTGACAACAGAACTGCCGCCTCATTTTCGTTTTCCAGAGCTTTAAAAACCTCCTGGTGTCTCACCTGACAGACCTAACATCTCACCTGACAGACCTAACACTCACCTGACAGACCTAACATCTCACCTGACAGACCACATGACGACTCAGACCACATGACGACTCACCTGACAGACCACCTGAGAGCTCACCTGGCGGCAAAGAGATCAACGGCCAGCAGGTGGATCCAGGCAGAGGCGACAGTGAGCGTGCTGGCGAACATCTGCGTGATGCCCGCTAGCTGGTGTGGGGAGAACAGGGGGGGGGGGGAAGGAGGAAACAAGAGCAAGGGAGGGAAAGGGGTGGGTGGTGGGTGGGTGAAGACAGGCGGAGGCGACAGTGAGCGTGCTGGCGAACATCTGAGTGATGCAAGCTAGCTGGTGGGGGGAGAGCAAGGGGGGGAGATCAAGGGGGGGAGAGCAGAGGCACAGCACAGCACATTACGCTTGTGCACTCAACTAGACAGGCAGCACATTTAGCACCCGATGGAAAAGAAAACGAGAAAGAGAATCGAAAGAGACGCACCTCGGGCAGCCAGTATTTGGAGGAGAACATGTAGAGCAGCGTGTTGGGCGTCCACGACTTGTAGAGCAGATAGAGGTACACGAAACCCAGGAGAATGCTCGGCAGCGAGCTGCCCATGATCTTCTCCGTCTGGTGTGGGATGGGGTGGGATGGGATGGGATGGGATGGGATGGGGTGGGGTGGGATGGGATGGGATGGGGTGGGATGGGATGGGGTGGGGTGGGATGGGGGTTGGGTGGGGTAGGGTAGGGTAGAGTGGGTTGTTGTCTTTTGAGGCGCCTTAAAACAAAAGGCGTGTATGAATTGTAAAGCAGGTAGAGAGGTACACGACGCCCGGGAGAATGCGTCATGATTTGAGACGACTCAAAACACACATGTGCCACACCCACAGACAGACCACATCCCATCTCAGTCTGGCGAGAAGATGCTGAGAGTATAAGAGTGATGACAGCAGGCGTGCTGATTTTTGGGACGCGTCAAAAGGGGCTGCTTATATCGAGTTGGCACTAAGACGCGTACCACGTGCCAGTCTGGCGCGAAGATCATGAGCGTATAAAGGGGGATCACAGCAGCCGTGCAGAGCGTGAACCAGCTGCTCGCTATAGTCACAGCAGAGCCACCCCCAGCTGCCAGGGCAGCCGCTGCAGCGGACGACGCAGCGGATGTGACTATAGGGGGCGTCACTGGTGGGCGGGGTGAGGATGGGATGAAGCGCGCGGAGAGAGAGGGGGGTGGGGGAGAGGGTAAGGAAAATGCGGAAAAAAGGATGGCCGATAGGAAGGTGCAGCAGGTAGGTGGAATGGAATGTGGACGGAAGGCGAAGGCATTTGTGTCGACTCAGAAGTAGGTGGAATGGAAGGTGGACGGAGTATGAACGGCAGGAGGATGCGAGCGCTTCGCGAGGGACGGCTTACGACTTCATTGAACTCGGCTGTTAGTGCAGAATTCGGCATCATCTCAAAAGGATGCCACAAAATCACGGCTTACAACTGCATTGGATTCGACTGCCATTTGATATCTGTAGTTTTCTGGGCTTCGGTCGCCCGGAGAGGATGCATTCTCGGGCGGCACGAGTTGACGGATTCGCGAAGCGGCCAGGTGCCACGTGCGAGGCTGCAGTTCGCACTGCTGTTGTCGATGTCACTGTGGGGAACGACACGTGGCAGCAGGAGGAGGAGGAGGAGGAGGAGGAGGAGGAGCGAAGCGACGGGGACGAGGAGACCGCGACGACATGGGAGGCCTGCAATAACCAGTCAGGCAATAACGAGGATATTGGGGTTCTGACGAGAATTTCCTGACCGACACGACGATCAACTGTTACTTGCAAGACGGCTGTCACACAAGCACCGCACCCAATCTCCTTCAACCACTTCTGCTGGTTTGAGCGGCTAGCTGGCGCTAGTTCATGCTTCCAGCAAAATTAGAGTTTCGAACACGCCGATTTGTCAAAAGAATATGAATTGTGTGCGGCAGAGAGAATGCGACCGCCATGACTGCAATTCTCATCGCAAAAGCGACTTCTACTGCTGTCCTAAGCTGCGTAGCGTTTGCTCACCTCGACGGCCAACGAGCGCGCCGAGCCCTGCAACGCAGCAGACGCCATCTCGTCCGACTCTCCTCTTCCTCTCTCCTGCTCGCAAAGCACGCAGCTAAGCAAAGCTGATACAAAAAAAATTATGCGTCACCTTGTTCCTACTGTCACCTGCGCTTTGATTAGTATGAGCTAATTGAAGGGCATGTCAAAACAGCTGTTTTTTTCTCTCACAACCCTACCCGAACAGGTTTTATTCTGCAAAAACGTTCTAAACCGTAGGTAAGTGACCATTCAGGGAAGAACCTATCCAGCATCAAATGGTTTTGTGCTGACCCAAGTCCACCGTATGAAATCGCACAAAAAACCTCTCAGTTGCGCGAAGTCCTACTGTACCGAATGGATTCTGGATATCGGGGTGTGACGTCGTTTTGCAATTGGGTGACACGCGCGGATGTCAGCCAGTCGTTCAGGCCAGACCAGAATCAAGGGATTGATCGTGTGCCTGACGCAAAGATGCGGCGTGCAGGTACGCTGGGACGCGTTTTGCCGTCTGATTGGTGGCCGTGATCCTCTGTGTGGATTTCTGGGCCACGAAAAGCAGAACTCCGATAGAGTTTCAGCCGGTCTTGCACAGGTTAAGCTGTAGTGATGGATTATGAATCGTCTCATATACTGTAGAATAGATATCCCTCTTTTACAAACTTGTCTTTCCTACTTAGCATCTACAAAGTCATAGGGGGCACATCATCTCCTGTTATCCACTGGCGGCAGCCTAATAAGCCAGATTGTACCCTCAAAAATCAATAATCCAGTCAAGTTCAAACCATACATATATTCTCTCCTATTCAAGGCTGAGGCCGTGACTGCACCACGTAGATCTTATCCCCCACAACACACCCTTCAATGTCCTGAGGCGATCCAAACCGGTCCTCCAAAAACGATCCAACGGCCTCAAGCTTCTTAGCAAGCACCACCTGAGCATCAGGCGAAGTAGACAACAGCTGACCACTGTAATCCACTGCTTGCATCACAACCCCACCCCCTTCTGACCCTGCAACTGCTTTCCTTCCACCTGAACCGCCCCCAGCAGCAGCAGCAGCAGGTGCCATCACGATTTTCTCGCTGAAATTTGCAAACGCCAGGATTCGAACCAAGCCGTCGGATTTCCCGACAGCAAATCGCCACGCGGTGCCACGTGTGCCGGACGCCAGAGTCTCGCCCAGCCCTGGCGCCACCTCAGCAGAGAGGAAATCCGACGGTGCAGATGAGCCGGGAGCAACAGCACTCGCAGACGCAGATCCTGTCGCTTTCCCGTTACTGCCACTGCCACTGCCACTGCCACTGCCACTGCCACTGCCACTGCCACTGCCACTGCTGCTGTTAGCAAGTCGGGGACTGGGAACGACCAGAGCGCCTCCAGCACCAGCGCCAATTCCCTTGGTATGAAGCACGAAGCTAAGGTCCGGTGGGGAGATTAATTCCTGGACTAGAACCGCCATAGCCGCATCGCTCTGACGCACGCCCGCCACCCGCCGGCTCAGCACCGCGCGCCGCGTGAACAGGGACGCCCACACCGAGGCTACGGCTCGGCCGAACGAAGCAGGGTCGGAGAGGGTGACATCAGGTACGGAATCGTACAGCCCAGCTCCGGACATGCCAGCCAGATCCTCCACATTGGCGCTCGAGCGGACGATAAGGCGAGCGTTTGCGGAGAAAATATACGAGAGGGTTCGGAAGAAGGCCGGGGGAAGGGGGGATTCCTCTAGGAGAGTACGGATCTGGGTGCAGGTGCTGTCGAGGACGCTTCCTTGCAGGTTCGGGTCGTCGAGGGTGGCGACGAGGCGGTGGAAGAGTGTGCGACGGTTGGAAGCGGTGATGGCCTCATCCATTACCCCAAAGGTGATCACAGCTGAGCGGGGGACGGAGAAGTCAGCACCTGATGGAAGGGAAAGGATACGGGTACAGAGGGAGGGGTTGCAAGAGTGTGCGACGGTTGGAAGCGGTGATGGCCTCATCCATTACCCCAAAGGTGATCACAGCTGAGCGGGGGACGGAGAAGTCAGCACCTGATGGAAGGGAAAGGATACGGGTACAGAGGGAGGGGTTGCAAGAGTGTGCGACGGTTGGAAGCGGTGATGGCCTCATCCATTACCCCAAAGGTGATCACAGCTGAGTGGGGGACGGAGAAGTCAGCACCTGATGGAAGGGAAAGGATACGGGTACAGAGGGAGGGGTTGCAAGAGTGTGCGACGGTTGGAAGCGGTGATGGCCTCATCCATTACCCCAAAGGTGATCACAGCTGAGCGGGGGACGGAGAAGTCAGCACCTGATGGAAGGGAAAGGATACGGGTACAGAGGGAGGGGTTGCAAGAGTGTGCGACGGTTGGAAGCGGTGATGGCCTCATCCATTACCCCAAAGGTGATCACAGCTGAGCGGGGGACGGAGAAGTCAGCACCTGATGGAAGGGAAAGGATACGGGTAAAGAGGGAGGGGTTGCAAGAGTGTGCGACGGTTGGAAGCGGTGATGGCCTCATCCATTACCCCAAAGGTGATCACAGCTGAGCGGGGGACGGAGAAGTCAGCACCTGATGGAAGGGAAAGGATACGGGTACAGAGGGAGGGGTTGCAAGAGTGTGCGACGGTTGGAAGCGGTGATGGCCTCATCCATTACCCCAAAGGTGATCACAGCTGAGCGGGGGACGGAGAAGTCAGCACCTGATGGAAGGGAAAGGATACGGGTACAGAGGGAGGGGTTGCAAGAGTGTGCGACGGTTGGAAGCGGTGATGGCCTCATCCATTACCCCAAAGGTGATCACAGCTGAGCGGGGGACGGAGAAGTCAGCACCTGATGGAAGGGAAAGGATACGGGTACAGAGGGAGGGGTTGCAAGAGTGTGCGACGGTTGGAAGCGGTGATGGCCTCATCCATTACCCCAAAGGTGATCACAGCTGAGCGGGGGACGGAGAAGTCAGCACCTGATGGAAGGGAAAGGATACGGGTACAGAGGGAGGGGTTGCAAGAGTGTGCGACGGTTGGAAGCGGTGATGGCCTCATCTATTACCCCAAAGGTGATCACAGCTGAGCGGGGGACGGAGAAGTCAGCACCTGATGGAAGGGAAAGGATACGGGTACAGAGGGAGGGGTTGCAAGAGTGTGCGACGGTTGGAAGCGGTGATGGCCTCATCCATTACCCCAAAGGTGATCACAGCTGAGCGGGGGACGGAGAAGTCAGCACCTGATGGAAGGGAAAGGATACGGGTACAGAGGGAGGGGTTGCAAGAGTGTGCGACGGTTGGAAGCGGTGATGGCCTCGTCCATTACCCCGAAGGTGATCACAGCTGAACGTGGGACCGAGCGATCAGCAGCAGGAAGGAAATGGGGTATTGAGGGAGTGGAGTCCAGTTGAGAAATGCGGTTCGTAAGTATATATACACGTGTATACATATATGTAGACATATATATACATATATATGGGAGGGACAGCAGAAGAAAAAAGGTGGGAGGAATGCGCTGATGGTTCTAGAGGTCATCACAGCTGAACAAGGGACAGAGTCGAGAGGAAATTACCTGCGAAGGTGTGTGTAAGTAGACGACTTTTGAGACGTCTCAAAAGTTGTCTACTTACACGCGGGAGGAATGCGTTGATGGTTCTAGAGGTCATCACAGCTGAACAAGGGACAGAGTTGATTACCTGCGAAGGTGGAGGCGATCGAGAGCTCCTTGAGCTTGGCGCATGCATGTGCCTTGGCGCCACAGGTGGCCAGCTGGGCTTAACAGGTGATGTAAGGGACACGAGGCGCAGGGACTAAACACACTAAGGGACTCGAGAAAAAAATACCTGCAAAGGTGGAGGCGATTGAGAGCTCCTCAAGCTTGGCGCACGCATGCGCCTTGGCCCCACATGTGGCCAGCTGGGCTTCATGCAGCGGCAGCACTGGCAGCCGTGCCTCCTGCACTCGAATCTGGTGGGGGAGACACGAGGAAGAGGAATATGGAGAGAGGAGAGGGGAGAGGGGATTGGGTATTGTTAGGTGGGATGAGAGCGATGGGGCAGCACCGGCAGCCGCGCTTCCTGCACTCGGATCTGAGGCAGCACACGGGGAGAGAAAAGGGGAGAAGGAGAGGGGCGCAGGGAAAGAGGAGATGTCAGGGTTGGGTTGCACGGCTTTGTGCAGCAGCAGCACTGGCAGCTGCGCCTCCTGCACGTGCCTCCAGCGGATGTGCCTCTAGCGGATATGCCTTTGGCAGATGTGCCCCTAGCGGATATGCCTTAAGGGGGGGCGTCTTTTGGAGTGTACTGGGAAGTTCATGTTTTTTATTCGACTTTATACATTTGAACATTGGTCGACCTGTAGTCGACTATCTCGACTCTTGGTGGTCGAATCGCGGCATCACCTTTCACATCAAGCACATGTCACAACAAAGTTTGACTATTGAAGTTCGACTTCTTACAGCAAAGCCGAGTCGCGCCCAACTTTTGTAGGTTACCTGGATAATACGATGTAATTCTTGACCGTATCCGGCTTCGGTAACCCGGTACAATGTAGTTTGTGACCGTCGCAGATTTCGCAGCTTCATCGTGCGTGAGCAGAACACACGAGTGGATAAACGAGAAAATGGACATTCGAATGCGAGGTCGACCGAACCCAGTTCAGTGTCCTACTATTTTCTCATTTTGAGATGTCTCAAAACCAGAAGAACACACGACTGGATAAACGTGGAAGTGGACATTCGATTGCGGTCGATTGGTGAGGTCGACCGACCGACCCCAGTTCAGTGTCCTACTGTTTTCTCAAACTTTGAGCATGGACATACGAACGTCGCAAACAACCCTAAACGGAATTAGCGAAATTGGTTACCAGCAAAAGGTCCACCTTTTTTTCGAACTCCGACCACAAAGGACACACGCCCTTAGCAGATGTGCCTCTAGCGGATATGCTTCTCGTTACGTGTGAACGCAGCACACTCACCCAATAAACAAAGTAGACTCACAGGTTGCGGTTTCAGTGCCTGCACCCACACTTCATCCTCGCTCTTCCCACTGCTACTGCTGGTGGTAGCATCTGCAGAGGAGCGCTGATCCACAGCAGCTCCTGTTATGACCTTCACCCCTTCCACTCCTGCTTCGAGGCTGCAGAGATAGAGACAGAAGGGTGAAGGTGAAAGGTTGAGAGTGCTAAGGGGAAGGGTGTGGGGAAGGGTTGGGAAAAAATGGACTTCTGGTCCACAGCAGCTCTCGATATGACCTTCACGCCTTCTACAACCCCCTTGAGACTGATGGCACACACACACGGGAGGAGGGTGGGGGTAGGTTTGAAGGGTTGAGCGAGACACAGAGAGAGGGGAGGGCTGAGAGAAAAGGAAAGAAAAGGATTGCACATGAGGCCACAAAAAAGGAAGTGTAAGCGAGGATGGAGAGTGGCTTTTAGAGCAAAAAAACGCGAAGGCAAAAAAACTACTTGAAAAAAAAACAATCAAATTTGCCAAAAAAAAAAGGCTCTTCTTGCTGCATGCATGGTGCGGCCTTTTGAGATGGGGGCGTTTACCGAATTCGAGAGCCAACAGCGGAGCGAAGGGCGGTGATTCGGTTCTCATCCTCGCAAGTCATGAGCAGCACACCCTCCTGCGTGAGGAAGTGGGTGTGTTGGATGGGGGTTCACACTATTAGAATTCACAAGAACCGATTACACCATGACCCTTCTCATCCTCGCAAGTCATGAGCTGAGCAGCACTCCCTCCTGCGTGAATGAATACAGGGTTGCAGCGGATGGGTGGGTGGGTGGATGGGAGGGTTTTTTTAGGAGTTGAAGAACCGCTTACAACACAAAGGTCCTTGCATGTCATGTCATGAGCAGCACGCCCAAGTGGGAAAATTGCAACAGGCAGCTTCTGAGCAGTAGCAACTAGTGTATATAGTACATAGTGTATAGCATACAGTGTACAGTGTACAAGTTTAGTGTATAACCTCACCTGTCTCGCCCTGATGACCAGGTGGGAGAGGTGTGGCGGCAGCAGCAGCAGCAGCAGCAGCAGCAG